AAAATGGGATGAAAGATTCTCCACAAACTGTCTTTACCTGCAGACCAGAATCTTTGCATTGTGCATGATGGCACCATCGGGGTTTTCTTTTACTGCTCTATCAGTTGATCCCTGTTTCCTTGCCAGCTTGTTGAACATGAACAATGCCCAAATATCAAGAAGCTATGAGCTCCCTGCTGGCACCTCCCCGGGTGAAGATGACAGGGTAGGGAGCATAATGGCAGCAGACAACTGGCAGGAACAAGAGCTCCTTTAGCCCAGACTGTACTACTCAACTCTCTTGCTGCAAATTAAGGTCTTATCTCTCATTCTGTAAACACTGGATGCAGAGAATTTAAACCATAAGCTGAGCACGTGGAAGAGCAGAGCCAACAGCATCCAGGCCAAGTTAAAAAGGGTGCCAGTGCTTTAAAGGCATTCATAGGTCATCGCTGCATGCCCTAACAAATGTTGCTGTGCATAACATTTCCAAAGCCTCAGGCTTTCAGACACACCCAGCTGGGTGTGTAACAAGGATGTGGACAGACTTCAGGTCCTCCGAGTATGGCCCAACATGCCTCTGAAGGGAGCAGATAGCTTACTGATTGTGGTAAAAGGGCTATGAAGGAGAGAACAGAGGGAAGAATCAGTGCAGCAGCTGGGAGAAGGAAGCAAGGAGATGCAGAAGGGGAATAACAAGTCTATCACCTGGATGAGGACACTCCTGTCAGCTCACAAAGGTGGCAGGAGGTAAAACACACCCATCTGCTCTGAAACAGGTTTGGCTTCCTCTCCGCATAATGCTGTGTGCTTCCTTGCGCTCCCTGTAGAGGACAGGTCTAGCTGCTACAGCCTCCTCTGTGGCCCCAGGCCTATAGGGGAAATCACGGAGTGCTGTCCATGCTGTCCCTCGCAGCACTGACAGTTATCCAAGAGCTGTTCCTGGGCAGGCCTGCAGTGGCTCAAGAATGGTGAAGCCACTCCAGAACCTGTGACCCACTCTCAGGGACTTCTTACTTCCCACTGCAGCCCATGCCTGACTCACCAGCTCCTCCTGCCTCACCCCCCAGTTCAGCACTGGGAGGCAGGGGTGACTGTCAGCAGCATCCCACTGACACCATTCATTATGTCCTTGCTCATCATTTGTGGTTAATCATTTTCCAGAACTTGAAGACCTTTTGTGAACCCAAGCAGTTCCAGCACTGGGCAGCCGCTGTGGTTTCATACCAGTGCTGCTGCTATTCTGTGTAGAAGTAAACATCAAAATGCAAATCAAAAGTTTAGTTAAATGGGACACTTGAGTGCAAGACAAAAGCCCTTTGCCTGCAAAAGAAAGGACTGCAACTCAGAAAGCAGAGCTTAACTCTGGTGAAGACAAACCCCACCCTTTTCTCAACCAAGGCAATTTAATGAGGGTTGGAGAAATGACTTCAGTCAACTGACTACCCACACAAGCAGTTTGTTTAAATTAGGGAATCAGCAGTGGTAAGGGAGCAGGGTCTAGTGCAGGGCTGAGACCCAGGAAGGATCTGGAGAGGCTGTGGAACCAGTTCTCCAGCGTCTTCTGTCAATAACACCGTAGGCAGGAAGGTTCTGGCAGAGCTGAGGCATCGCAGAAAATGAGCACCCGCTCTGCACTGCTGCTACAGCACACTCTTGGTCTCATCCAGCCAGCGCTCCAAAACACACATCACTTTGGTGCTTCAATACACAATCAAATCAACATGGGTGTAAACATATAGGATGGTCTGTTTTGATGCTCTTTACATGTTTGTCACATGCAAATCTGTTGATGATGAGGGAGGTTTCTTGGTGAATTTACATAGAAAGCATTTAATTGAAAAGGTACTGCCATACTTAGCCAATAGTGTCACCCACTAGACTCTGCAGAGAAATCTCCCAAAGAATCAAATTAGAAGCTGCACTTGGCCTCAGAAGAAGGAAAAAGCCCATAATTCAGGGCAGTAGTGATTCAGTAGCTTAGCCCGAGTCTAGTCATGACACATCACAGTTGGACACTGTTGGGAAAGGCTCTCATCACACCCAACACACTGCAAAGGATACCTAATACCAGCACTTAGAGCTAACGCAAGTCTCCACCGCTGAGTATGGAAAAATGGTGGGGCACTGGCAGAGCTGCACTCCCTCCACCAGGAAAGGTTTGCCTTGGATCCTCCACAGACACCCTATTGAAAGGCTACTGAGGATGTTTGGATCCACCTTATCTTCAGTAGGTACTCCAAACTTAAAACAATCAAACAACCCATGCCTGTCTGATACTGAGACCTAGCCCAAATCACAGATGTAATGGGTAGGTCCATTAAAAAGTTACATACGTAAAGGTTTCCACTTACTTCTGAGATAGTGATACAATACAAAACCAGATGATCTTCTTTGCAAGCATCAATCTGAAAAATATTCTAAAACCATTTAATGTAAGATAGAAGAGGCCATTAAAAAAAAAAATCACTTTTTTAGCAGAGTTCTGATTAATGGAAGTAATTAATTTTCATTACACAACAGATTCCAGTTTTCTTGAAAATTTTCAATCTTCACCTCAGAAAACGCAAGGCTAGAGAGATACTCAGATCCTCTGCAAAAAATCAGTTATCTTCACCCTTTATCTGTACACAGAAAGCATGAAGCACAGAGACTTGACACTTGCTGCTCTAACCTGATCAATGCATAAAACACTGTCCCTGGGGTTATTTTTAAGAGTGGTAATTTTAGAAGGGAGGATGGAGGGAGGGAGGGAGGGAGGAGTGGAATACATTATGGTTGTCCCTTTTGTCAGTGGTCATCAATTTGTACAAAGGTTTGGCACTTATCAGTAGGCAGACAGGCGCTTGTGAAGTCTCATTTTGCATATGGCTGTTACTGCCATATCCAGACACCTATAGAGTCTTCCAGTTAGAGTAGCCATTCTTCCACTGAATGAATAGATCTGAACCATAACTTGGAAAAAGGCTACAACTTTGCAGTCTGCAGTCTTGAAGGCTGTAGTTAAAAATATAGGCCAAGAATAATATTCTACAGCAACTGAACCCAGTAGTAAACATGCAAACTTTTGAACTTTTCCTACTAGAAACCAGGTTATAAAGAAGCTCTATAGCACAAAGCTACAGAGGTGGTGGAAGCCACTTCAAGATGTTAAGATACACAATCTACTCAAGCAGGAAATACACACAGACTGAGGTGGACAATCAACCTGAGATACAATGATGACAGAGTGCTGACATTTCAGAATCTCTTTGAAGGTGAGCAGGTGCTGGCTGAGTGCAAACAAAGCCAGCGAGGAGGAAAGAGCTTTTCAGAAGTCATTGCCCTGAATCCCACAACAATGACAGCACTGCAGGAGACAGACTGAGCTTGTACATAACTTGGTGGCAACTGTAAGTGACAAAGAACAGAATTCCGCCCCCCAAACCAAACACCTTTCTTAAAACACACGTCAGAGCACTTCAGATGAGGGGAAAGGAGGCATTCACTATCACTGTCAGCAGAAAGACTCCAACACACCTTCCATGAGGAAAGGACTAGATGGCCAGCATGCAATCCGGAAGGAAAACTAGACTACCACACAGTTTCTAGCATGATAACAGATATAGAAAGGCCTCTTGGGTCATCCAAGACTGTGCTATCACTCGTACCCACAACATGCTACTTCTTCCGTAAGTGCCAAACTGTCCCCTCTGTTTAAACTTTTTTGTGTCGGCAATATATGGCCTTTGTATTAAAGTAAGGACATGGGATTGACTGTTATCCTGCTTTCAGCAATCTCTCTTCTAATATCAGTGGGAGCTGTCTTTGCAGTCACAATAAAACCCCTCTTTGCAGCTTCATTGACCAGCAGGGGGAGAGGACAGGGAAAATGTCACTTCAAGGAAGAAAATAAGAAGAGGCTGCTACCCAGACTAAACACTTTATTGCTCTGCACGGCTTTCTGCTAGTCCTGCTTTCCTAGAGGTTCCACAGTGGTGGCAGGAAAACAAGCCCAAGCCTACGAAGAGGAAACATTGTCATACAGGGGCATGTTTGAAGCACAAATGCAGCTTGCTCAGCTCAAGATTCAGCAGACAGAACCTTTATGGACTTCTCATAAGCACATAAGCCAGTGGGTGAGCTCTCCTTATGCCACCACTGTGAGGGTACTGTGGGTGGGCTGCACAGTACCAGTCATGCTGGAGCCCTGGGAGCTTGCTCCCACAGAGTGTCAAGAGTCCAAGCTGGTTTAGGAGGAAAGGTAAAGAAATACTCAACAGCAGGAGAAAGAGGATTATCTTGAATGACTTTCTCAGTGAACCTGTTTTTTATCACCACCCTTGTTTCATTCTGTAAAGATTCCAATGATGATAATAAAAGGAGAAGTAGGCTGATCCCTATCACACACATGACAAAAAAAAAAAAAAGAAATGGTACTAGCAGATACCCCTGATCTGGTGTTTGCTGACCCAGCAAACACAGCCTGGGTAGAAACACCTACTGGGGGAAAAAAAGGGGAGAGAAGAACAAAATAGTAAAAACCCTAGCTGTGAGACAAAAATGCCTATTTCTGTGTCACTCTCATCAACAGTATTTCACAGAACCCCTGCCATCAAAGAAGTACTCATTTTGCCAGGATTTATTTCTTCTAAGACACACTTCTTATATTAAAGATGCAGTAAGGAACTGAGGGGTGTTAAAGCCTCAGAATTAAACAGTTTAGTCTTGGAACACTGTCTTCTAGATAAAACATGCCACCCAGTCTGGCTAGAGCTGCAGTGATTTAGAAGAAATATGTGCAGAAGTTGTGAGCTAATTAGAGATTATGGGATGTTCATTCCCCAGTGACTGAGCAGGAGAAAACTGAAGTGAGCAGGAGCCCAAGAACTGCATTTACAAAAATAAAATTTAACCTCATTGTTTCTGGTGTCTTTTCCCTGAAAACAGAGAATGATCTGGACATCAGCTCTTCTTTCTGCAAGTAAAATTCGCTCCAGACCATTCCCTCACCCTCCCATCAGATTAATGCAACACAGAAAATTTTTGAGTCTTTTTTTAATTATTATTATTTCATTTAAACAATACTTTTGGGACAAGATGGGAAAAGAGCAGCACCTTTTAAAAAAACTTCTTGTGTGCTATACAGGATAAACAGGTGAGCTTTAAAATAGTTAAGTTTATAGATGTACATATACACACATACACTAAACCAAATTAAAACCAAAAAACTCATGAGGGGTCATTTTCAACACAACAAGAGAGAGGAAAACCTTATTTCACAGCAAGCAAAAGCACCACAAGTTAAGATCAGAGCGTACAACCACAGGTAGTGCAGATACCAAACTAGCCTGGGTCCTGGAAGCAGTGTAGCTTGAGCAGCACAAAGCTCCATGTGGGCCAAGTTATCCCATTCCCTGGCACAAGCGAGCACATAGCCTTCCATTCAGCATGCTGTGCCGTGCTGTGCAGGCTCTCTCACAGCCAGCTGCTCTGCCTGCCATCAGTTCTGGCAGAAGCCATAGGAAGTAACTAACTAGTGGGAATAAGAGACCCAAAGCTAGGCTACAGGACTGATTGAGCTACAGTATTTCCACAACAGAGGTTTATGAGTTCCCCCATGTCTCTTGAGTACTTTCTGTAGGTCCTGCCTGCTTGGATCACACAGCAGACAGCTCCTGATTATTTATTATTTGTGCACCAAGGTTCCCATTCGTCCTATACCTGCATCTTTTCCTATGCCTCTTCCACCCCACACCACCACTCCTATTTCCTCCAGGCTGACAGGGTAATAAAATTAGGAAGGGGCATGTCAAGGGGATAGTCAGCAACCAATTGGAGCTTAAAAAATAATAGTGATTCTTAAAAAAAAGCAAACCCCAACAATTAAAAAACCTGCTCAAGTTCTGCAGACTTCTGGCAGAGTTTGGTCATTTAACCCAGAGGTCTTTGTCTTCAGGGCCTGTAGGCTAAATTGCCTCAACTGGCAAGAAGCACACAGAGTACAAGGTAAAATCCTGACTAAAAGAAAAAAGTCGCAAGGGTTGAGGACAGCAGGGGCTATAACATGGAAACCCAGTACTTCAGCAGCAGCACTTATGCTACACGGTACGCTTTCAAGAGAGTGAATTCCTTTCTGTTGGTACGAGCTGCCCAGATGAAAAGAGCAGCTGCCATAAATTGCAAAGGTGCTGAGACACAGGCAAGACAGAAGGACCAGCCGAATTCACCCCTCACATCATTAGGCAGGGGCAGCTTGTCATGGAGCAGCTTAATCCCAGCTACATAGCAGCCAACGAGGCCCAGCGTACAAAGCCCTGGAGAAGGAAGTAGGAAAGGACAATGAGCTCAGTGCTGAAGTGCTCCGACTGTCACTATGGGCTTCTGGAGAATGGAGTGGTGGATGGCAGAAGACCTACCTGCTAGGAAATGGAGGACTCCAGTGGCAATGGCTGGGTAGAGGCTGCGACAGGCACAAGCACAGAGCCCAATCAGAGCCCCAAAGCACATGAGGCCAAGGCTGACAAAGGGCAGAAGAAACTGCAGTCGCCAGAGATCTGCACATGGAAGAAACACACAAGACAAGTTTGTTGAAGATGGGCTTGAAACTGATCTTCTCCCACCGTCTTATATTCCCTTCTACCCACACTGCTTCTGCTTCATCAGACATTTTACATTCATAGCTAAAAAGGACCAAAGGCTCCACTCAAGTAGGAAGATTTGTTAACTTGCAAATGCCTGTACTGCATTCACGAGCAAAACCTTTGCTAACACATTTAAGTTTTCCTTTTAAACTTTGACCTGTTGCTTGTGCTGGTGTAAAACCCAAGAAATGCAGAGCAAGATACATATGCTTTCCTCACTAGTGACTGTATTTGAGAAACATCTTTCCCCTCCCCATCCTACTTGTTTACCTGCCAGAAGTAAAAGACACTTACAAGTTCGATTTAAATCCGTGCCACTATTGTGATTTCCAGGCTCTATGTACTTTTCCATAAACTGGTCAGAGAGGGAAAAACTGATGCAGTTTGTAATCATATCTGTTTCTGGGGAAAAAATTAAAAATTACCATTAGGTGTCTTCCCCCCACCCCTCTTTACAATTCCTCAATTGCCAACCATTTGAGCTGGGAAGCTCCTTAGAGTTCCATTTAGAGAAAAAAAAAACGAACTCTCAAAACAGATCTGCAGGATGACAATTGAGATCTGTACGTTCTCAATGTAGTTACTATGATGTAGTTACTACAGTCAGCATTTAAACACACAGAATCTTCAAGCTTACCCAAGTTATCCAGAGAGAATTGTGCCATGCTTGGCAGATTGGGGAAAAAACATGGCACATGATGCTCAACTATGCTGTTACATATTCTTGTAGTCAGCTGTGCTTATCTCCATGTGCAGAATGTAGTATTGTACTAAACACTTCATTCAAAAATGGGATAGGAAGGACTATTTAAAGAATAGAAAATACTTGCTTCTTTGCAATAGATTTCTCCTCTTTTATGTCTCAGATTTTGCTTTGAGAACGCTATTGAGCAGAGCTGGTTTAATGTCTACCAAAATAAGTATTTTCATGAAAGAAAAAAAAAGTATTTCATGTCATGTGTTTTTCTGCAGAAAAAGTGTTTGAAAGTATATTTTTTTCAAGAGAGTTCAAAATGAAGGGCTTCACACACACAGGAAGTCTCCAAAAATCTACTTTGAAGCAATTAAAATTGCTCACCACACTTTTTTAGACCCCAACCACTGTGAAAAAGAATACAAATATTTCATTCTACCTCAATCACTACAGTACAAGGAGTTCAAGATGTGCTGATGCAACAGTGGGACACTTGTGACATGAGCAAAACAAATGGCTGGGTAAAAGAAGTGCTCCCTTGACAAAGCAGTACCTTTATTCCATTGCTGGGTCCCAGGACCTCTCCTAAAAAGACAGTGACTGGCAGAGCAACTATAACTGTATCCCCAGTAGGACAGCAGATGCAAAAAAAATCAAGCTATACCAGACTTCATTTAGATCAACTACCGTGTGTCAAATCCAGAGTCTGCAGCACTGACAGCTACAGACCATTCTGCTTCTTTTGCTTCTTTAAAAATTCAGACTGTCTTTACTAAAACCTCACAAAACCAAATAAGCTAGAAATAAGCTTTCTGGAGGAAAAAAGTGGCATGAACACGTTCTTAGGAAGTTCGCACGTACCACCACAGGCAAGCTAGAGAAGTGTTAATTGCTCTGGAGATACCTGGTGGGCTGTACCAGTGAGAGTTCTTGGGTACAGTGATACATCTCCGCCACAATCCAACTGTGCCGTTACACCGGAAGAGCGCATCTGTGTAGGTCTTCTCATCTGCCTCTTCACTGACAAATTCGTCCCAGATGCTCCTACCAGCTTCACTGACATTCTCAGCTGGGTAAAGGGTGTGGTATTCGTACCAAAAGTCAGTGCCAATGGAAGCTGCCATATAAATGGTGGAGATGAGGCTGAGAACACAAGCAATTACCAGCGCAGTAGCAAAACGGTTGTCCATCATTGCACCCTTGCTGCTGTAGGGAAAGAGAGAGCCAAGTGAGTAACTATTCTGACAGTAAACCTAAAGTTATCCTAGCAGTGTCAAACTTGTGACATCATTCCTCTTATGCAATTTTCCCTCAGGATATGCATGTCTTTTCCAACATGCTGGAATCAAAGGAACACTGAGCAACTCTACAGTACTAGTCTGCATCCACTGGACCTGTGAGCTCAAGACACTGGTATCACCCTTCTCCCAATCACACTGTGCTAGCTGCTCTTCATGAGACAGCAAGTGACAGAGCAACAGCAACTCTGTCCCCAAAGCAGATGGCACAGCTCACTGCCATTTGTGATCCTGATTGTAGGGAACTGCAGAGAATCCATCCACAGCATCCAGGCAGAAGACTTATCTTTCCTTAAGGGATTAGAAAGGGTAGAAGTTATTTTTAACCTCACATCCCATACAGCTTTCACAACTTCCGCTTACACCAAAGGTTAAGAACCACAAGCATGCCAAAAAAGCTCTTCCAGGCTGTTCACAAAGGGCAGCCATGCCAAGGTGCCAGAATGCCTTTAGAGAAGCAGAGAAATGTATCCAGCCACTAGAGATAGTACATGAAGGAAGCACTGAAAGGCCAATTTGGAAATTGTGATAAATGCTGCAATAATGCCACAATATATAGAGCAGTATTTCTGAAGAACTAAAACAATGCGGGGGGGTGTGCTCTGTTCCATGGGAACAAGATGACAAGACTTCTAAACCTGAAAGGCCTGCATGTGCTGGCATGGGGACTTTGCTCTGACTCCCTGTTATTAGGGGTCACTCATGCCCTCTTTGCAGGGTCATGCTCACAAGTGACATAAATTCAGGATCAAAGGAAGCATGGAGGAAATAGATACCATGCATGATTACACTTATGACAGCAATGTGACTTTAATGAGTAATTGATTGCTAACACATGGGATGTTTTGCAGATAGCGCAGTACGTCAGAGGGCTCCTCTCAGATGCCTGTTATTATCACAGGTTTTCTGTGCCTGATTACATTTATGGATTATGATGAATCAGGCTTGATGCACTTACCAGAAAAAAAAAGAGCTCAACTGAAGTTAACTTAGCAGCTAGAGCTGCTCTGGTGACACGAGCTGCTAATCAGCTCTTGTCTCTTGTTTGTTCCACCTCCCTTCTCCCACATACGTTGATCAAAATATTTTGGTCTAACTTCTTTCAACTGAACAAACTGCAACTGGAAAGAGCAAATGTCTTTAAACACAACATTTACAGGGGAAAACATGAAAGCTTAAGTCAGACCTGCCAGTAGGAAATTCTGCACTATGAAACAAGCGCAAGTTAAAACAGGGAGTTTCAAAGGCACTGGTATTTGCTGCTTACAACACCACTCTTATTTCCTTTCCCTCTATTTGGCTGAAACTGGCTAACAGGGCTGTGGAGGAGAAATACTGTGTGCCCGTATCATTCCCTATGCTTAATTCCTGTATTAAATAAGGTACATGCTCTGCAATATTCAACCCTAAACTGCATCCTTAGCAACAAGCAGGAGCAGAGCCGAGTTTTGGTGAAGTGACAAGCAGCACTTATTTAAAATTCTGCAAGGTTTGCATGCCACAACCATATTTAAGTAATAATCCACAAGCAATGAACTTTCATAAGCTAGGGCAAATACCGAGAGGCAAAACATCATATCTGGTCTTATTTACTTAGAAAACGTAGAATCAGATCCAGACTTGAAAGCAAACTCTCTTTGCAGTGTTTAATTCCTGGTTACGTACTTCCATTCTCCAGTGATATCCCAGCATCTCACTCAAAGTACACAGGACACTGGATGAGTAGACTAGGGAGAGAGCAAGCTCCTGTATAGATATGATGTCCCTGTTTATCCCCAGTGAGTTCACTGAGAGATCCTCTCTCCTTCACAAACTTCTCACAAAGCAAACAGGATCAGTGGCATCCCCAGGGCCAAAGCTGTTGCTGCCCAGCTCCCGCTGAGCTCAGCTCAGAGCTGAGCAGATCCTCTGGGAACTCACTCTTGAGGCAAGCAACAGAACAGGCTGGTGAGCAGGCTGGTCTGGATTTTCAAGTATATTGCAGTCACATTCGCTGCAAGAGGAACCCTCTGCAATAGGCTCCTCTCTTTAAAAATGGGCTCTCTCTGAAAGGAGGAATCACAAGAACCTACAACCTCATCCTCAGAGTAGTGTCTGGCTCTAATAATTAAGAATGTAAGCAGGACATTACCAGGCCACTGTTTTGCTGCCACTGACTTTTAACAGATATGCTTATAATAATAAAGTCCTATCAACTTTGTACCTAATACAGAGAAAGAAAAGAACTGGCTCAAAAATCTTACTTTCAGATACAGCATCCCTGCTACCAGGTACAGAACACTGGTGCTGGAGATACCTCTTTCAGAGCATCATTAAAAGGCAACCACAGACTTCTGGCCAGCCTTCTGTGCATTGGCATACAGTAGACTTGGCAGATTTGATGTTCGCTGGCAACAAAGAGCAGTTTACAGGCAAAATGAAGGGTTAAACATCAAACAGTAAATTAAGGCACTGTCCAGTGTCCATTACATACTTGGGTAAAAGGGACACGACCAGCTATTGTCAATTGATTCTTGTAATGCACAGCTCCAGGGACAGGCAAACAGCAGCCCCCAGGTTGCAGCAGGTGGCTGTGTAGCTTTTGTCCCAGAAAGAACACAAATGGATTTTCAGTACAGACAAGACAGTGCCAAAACAAGAGCACATCCCCAATTCCTTGTAATAAAGGTCCCCTCAGTGTTTCTGCTTAACACTTCAACTACTTAACAAAAAAAAAAAAAAAGATGAAGTACTTTAGGCATTTTAGGCATCTTCTACATTGGACATTCCTCCTGCCACAGTGTAGCAGACTTGACCACCCTGCTCCTTCACTATGTATACCCACTGCATCTTCATTTACCACCCCCGCCTTTCAAAAGGTTGTCCTTTGCTCTGTTAAAGGGAGAACCATCCTTCCAGCCCTAAGCAGGGCTCAATGGGAGTAGTAAGCACAGTCAGTAAGAAACAGTTACCAGAGAAGACCACGAAGAAAGACACTGCATGCTTACAAGATTATGCCACACTGCAAAAGGTTCTATGCAGAACAGTATGTAGAAGGTGCCTTAAAATAAGCTTACTTATAAAAAAATAACATTACTACTACCAGAGATTACATTACAAAGACATAAATATTGGTAACAGAAATATTTTGCCTTTATAGACTGTCAGTAAGAACCTTCGCTGTTTTTACAAAAGGTCTGTCCATATGACACTGCCAGCACATTTTATTGTAACAGCAGGAGCAATTTCAAACAAGTTACGGCTGAAACTAAGCTACGCAATGAATATAAGACAAGTCAAGGCAGTAGTGAACAGGCACTCAAGCAGAAATGTTTCACAGGATATTATAACTACGCTCATTTTTTAAAGGAGTGAGACATAAAAAGTTCAAAGCAGCAGCTCATAAAAGAGAAGACAAAGGCCAAACCAACAGCAACATTCAAAGCAAAGACCAGATGCATGCACTTCATTGAAGAAGGAGAAAAAGAAAAGGTCAAGTCAGGAGAGCTGAAAAAACAGAACAGGAGATAATGCTATGGAACACTTTCTTACCTTCAGGGGTCCTCAGGGTCCCTCAGGACGCACAGCTCCAATGAGTCCAGGTTACTTCAGAGACACAGCGTGATTTGCGACATGTGGCAAGTGGAGAGCATGAAACGCAAACTTCCGGACTGCCCTAGCTGTTCCATTCATTCAGTTTCTTCAACACCGCCAGTCCACAAAACATGATCTAGGAGTAGAAAGCAAACCAAATAGCCCGAGATCATAATTTCACTTGGAAATCAGTTCACAAAAATCTCATTAAGCAAAAACATTAAGAAGGGGAGAAGCAATGACTCAAAAGCCCTCGGGCCATCAGCGCTTTGCCCACCACCACCAACCCAGGGCTCGGGCGGGCCGGCAGCCGCGGGATAAGCGGCTGCACGAAGGATTCTCGCCCCGCGCCAACCCAGAGCCCCGCAGCCAGCCGGTTACCGGGGCCGAGCTCCGGCACGGGCCGCAGCTGCCCAAGCGGTGCCGACACGCTTTGTCCACCGCCGCCAGGCCGCGGCACGGGCCAGGCCGCCCGCACCATCTCCACGGAGCGCGACCGCGCTGCCGGGCGCTCCGGCCTCTGAGGAGGCAGCCCTGCGAGGGGGAGCAGCTGCCCGGCAGGGGGACAGCCAGCCCAAGAAGAGCACCTCAGCCCTCGACCCTTCCGCCCCCTCCCACCCTCGACAGCCGCCCAGCCCGCTGCCGTACCCACCACCCATAGCCGCCCCGCGACCCTGGCCCGGCCCCGCCGCGCCGCTTCCGCCCCGCCCAAGCCAGGGAGACCTCCCCCCCCCCCCCCCCCTCCCCGCCGCGCGGGGCACGCTGGGGAATGTAGTTCTCCCCCTTCCCCGGAACAGCCGCGGCGCTCGGGCCCAACGGCACCATGGGAGCTGTAGTCCAAGTTGCCCCGTCCCAGCGCTGCCGCCGCGATGCCTGCTGGGAGTTGTAGGCTCTCACCGCCTCTTGGGCCGCCGCTCTTCTCTTTCGACGCCCAGTGCCCACTGCTGGGCAACGACCTCACCTCTTCCACGTCGCGCCGCTGGCACTTGCAGGCCCCAGAGCAGCGCCCCGCCAAAACTGTGGCAGCCCAGCCCCGCACCTCCACGCCTCAGCCCCTCACCTTGCACAGACCTTTTTGGCGTGAGGTGCAGCGCTGATTCATGCTGAAATAATTGCACACCTGCAAGACATGGGTGCTTGGGGATCTGGAGTCATGGGCCTAGCGTCCTGTACCTGCTCAGATAACCAGGATTTTTTACAGAAACACAAACAACCCCACTTTTACAGGGTGCCCAGAGAAGCTGTGGCTGCCCCATCCCTGGCAGTGTTCAAGGCCAGGCTGAATGGGGTTTTGAGCAACCTGGTCCAGTGGAAGGTGTCCCTGCCTGTGGCAGGGAGGTTGGAAATAGATGATCTTTAAGGTCCCTTGCAGCCCAAACCATTCTGTGATTCTATAATTCTATGAATTTCAATTATTTTGTCTCCCCATGCAGCCATGAGGCTCGTATTTATTTCTTTTCCCACCCCCCCTTGATCGCTTGTAGAAATGTTAAGACAGTATCCTGGCTGAATGGCTTGGGAAAACACCAAGTAAGGGAAAGAAAATACTTGGTAAAAACTGCAAAACCTGTGAAGGCCGGCTCCATGACCCAAACTGGACATTCCCCCACATCCCTGGTATAGGTACCCACATGAATTACATGAGGACTCTTACAAGCGGTTGACCACTGCCCTGGCTGAGACCACGGCACCCAGTTTTGATTTTACCAACCTCTGAACTAGCGAACACACACCCAGAGAAAATCGCGTCCGAGTTTTTCATGTTGCTGAGGGCTTCTGTAGAATGACCCCAACTAACTCCTCTCCCAGAGCACCAGGAAGCATTTCTGCAGTAAGGTAAGGAGCTGGGATGGCAGAGGTGAAAGCAGTGATACAAGAAACTTCTCTGACTTGGTGCAACAAAATAATATTTTATTGAAAAGTAATTATAAATTATATGTAAAGAATAAACCTCTGCCTAAACACACCCCTTCTCCAGACCATGGAACCACCTCACCAACACCTCATCATGTAACTGTCTGCAAGGATGTATTCTGGCATCTGCCTGGGATTTATGCTAGTTACTAAAATATTTAACACTTTTATCAATGGCCTAGAAGAAAACAGAGCATCGCTGATAAACTTCACAGATGACATAGGGCCTGAGGGCAGGGTAAATAATGAGATGGAGAGAGTGCTGGTACAGGGTGACCTGATCATTTGACAGCTGGGGACAAGCAAACATGCATTTCAGTAAGGAAGGTCATCGATGAGCTCATTCATGTAAGAGGAAAAAGTGGAGGCTATACTTACCTGATATAAAGCTTTATCGTGGGAAGCACAATATTAAAAGTACAAATGGGTCACAGAGGATTTCCAACTACCAAGGATGGTGCTGTGGCCAAAACCCTCAGCTTTCCTGCAACCTCAGATGTATAAACAGAGCAATCACAAGGAGGAAAGAAGTTGTATCACTCCTAGAGTTGCTGCTGGTTGCTGAAATAGCATGTCTAGTTTTGACATGTTGAGAGAAACCTGAAAAGGGACATGAAAATCACCGAGCAATTAGGAAGCCTTTCTCAGTGAAATATATCACAGAAGGTCAGTCAATTTATTTTTCTGAAGAGAGAGCTAAAAATCCTTAGCAAGACTATAAAATACACGTAATGGCAATAGGGAAAAAAAAAAGTCAGTAATAGTTTTTTTAGTGTCCTGGCAAAACTATCAGCAGTTGAAGCTATAAAATGTTAAAAGAAATGAAAAAACCAACAAAACGGAACGAAACAAACAAAAACCCCACAACCAACCAGAAACCTCCCTCTGTATTTTAAACCATTGGTTAAGCAGAACAGGAATTGTTTACTGTAAATTGCAGTGAATTATCCAATGCTGGAAGGTTTGTAAGTTTTTCTCCTAAAAGTTTTAATCTTGTACAAATGAGAATCAATTCTGGAAAAATTTGCAGCCATTGCTACTTCCATTACTGAATTGGACTATAGTGGCCCCTTTATAATCTGCTGTGATCAATATAAAGTGTGCAGCTGCTTGTAAACAGCCAGAGGGAAGAGATGTGTTTTCCTTTTATTTATATAATTTCAAATACTCTCTGCAGATTTCACCTGGATCTGTTTCTTCCCCCTGGAAAAACACCCCTGCATAGAGTACGAGTCACCCAATGAAAACATTACAGATGAAGATACAGAATCATTCATTGCCAGCACCTATGTTTTTTCGTTTTCTCTTCTTCCCCAGTGTGCCTCAGTGGAACCACTGGCTGATCAGTTCAGCTACACAACAGGGTCATTTGGGAAGGTTTTGAAAGTAAAAGTTTGCTTTACTGTGCAGAAATGGTGCCAGTTTGTGCATGAAAGCACAAAGGAAATAACTCCTAGAGGGAATAAACCTTAAATGCTGTTCCTGCTTTTTGGAAAACTGAAGTTTCTTTGATAGCAGAGCTGAGTCACATGCATTAGTTAGTACCTTTAGCAGAAGTTCTCAGGCACTGACAGAGAATTTAACACCAGAGTGCTGCAAACAAAACAAAGAAACAAAATCTTAGTATTTTGGAAAAAATTGTGTCATACAAAATTTGTGTCATGTCAGTTCTCACAGTCTAAGGAATTAAGAAAACATTTGTAGGAGGCAGCACCATATTTAATTAACTATATTAAATGAAGTTTATACAGGATGAGAATTAAGAAATGAAAAAACAGTCTTCTTATATGCACAAGTTACTGATCCAGACCTGAAAAAGGTGTTCAAGAGTCTGAATATTTCTTCCAATATTACTAATTAATTTACTACAAGATATTGCCTCTCCACTCCCAAAAATATGCTCTTTGCAATAATAAAAAGGGCAATTTCAGGTTTTGTGTTTTAGTTACCATCTGTGAACATTTCACATAGCCAGAATGAGCAGAAAATCCCATGGATTCCCCTCAGACCTCTTTATACAGTCACATTGGTTTTATTTCTGCTTTCTATATTTTTCTGTCTGTGGCATAGAACATTTTAGGCTAAGAAAACTCTACCCTCATTATAATTTTTCAGAGAGAAGACCTTCTAGATGTGTTTCTTCCTAATACGATGAATAGAACAGATTTGCTTTAATGATGCCCACTTGTCCTCTGAGTCAGTGGTCTCCAAAATGTTTTGCCATGCATCTCATCAGTAAAGACATTTTGAGCATGCATCCCTATTATATGGTGGTTTTTTTTTTTTAATTATATACATGTACTACTGCACTAATACATTATATACATTAGAAAACATACACAGAAATATAAATTGAACAAGGATGAGCTAAAGAGGAAATAAACACCACTTTAAAAATATTTAAGTGTACAAAAATTATTTTCTTCCCATACTACACTTTGTAGACTACTGTTCTTGGTATGAAACTATTTCAACCTACCCCAATGCGTTGTCTCAGTGCCTGCAATTTTACTTGAATCAGTTACCCACTCCTCTTTGTGCAGGGCCGAACTTCTGTTGGTTAGCATTCATCTGGTTACCTCTGAGCCTGCCTTCACCTAAGTTACAGCATAGTAGGGCAATTGCAGCCAATTTGGTGCGGGTTTTTGGTTGTTTTTTTTAAATTAGGTCTGTGAATCTCTGTTCCTTACAGAAGGTTTTTGAAGTACAGTCATTTAGAAACTACTACACTTTCTTTTACAGCCAAATGAACCTCTGTTCCTTCTCAGAATCTGTAATCATTAATACTTTACAGATACGTAACTCATTTTATTTAAATGCCTGTGATTATATAAAAACAGATGTGCAAGTTGGAATAAAACCACATTTAAGTTACTAGTAAAATAGAGAATGTAAAAAAATAAAATTAAAAAAACCCCAAACAAACAAAAAACAACCCCAAACCCACACCTTGCTACCACAAATGCTTCAATTGCAGAAATTTGTAAGGAGTGTGTGACAGTCTAAATCAACAACCCTTCATACTTCCTGTGCAGATAGTTCTGCTGTGCATCTCTTCTACTAATTTTGCCACGACATTAGAATGCTACCATAATACATGTATCACTGTGAAGAAAGACATGAAATATTTTCCCTTGGTACTGCTAGAAATACTTCAGCATTTCCTGTGAGGAATATTTAAGGAACGGTACAAACACTGACATGACAAACTTCACAAGTGCGTTTGAGAAAGGTTTATCAGGGAAGCATACGCTCTAAAGCCTAACTGGACAAATACACAGTCATGATTACAGAATCTGCTGTGAGTGTGTGGTTACAAAGGCTCCAGGTTCACTCTCAGGTTCAGAACTACCCACCACCAGTGGCTGTATCTTCTCAGAGGAGTGTCAGAGTAGTAGCCGAATGGCAGAGCGTACACGCAAGACATGCCAGTAGCTGTTGCTCCAGCATAAAATTTTGTTTGGCAAAAGGGTTTACATGTATCTGTTGAGGTGTGGGAGGAGGAAAGTGCTGTGGAAATCTGGGAAGGGGTGAGGAGAGCGTGGAGGCTGTCCTCCTGATGACAAAACATCTCACTGCATCTCTTGGATCTTAGCACTTCATGTGTTGAGCTTTCTGGAATATCTATACAGAAGTGCTATAAGGGGAATTTCCCTGTCCTCAATATTTTTGAGTTTGGCTCAGGGAAATGACCTCTGGGAAGAGAAAGATCCTGTATGGTGCCCCAAGCGAATCAATAGCACATAAAAAGCCCACAAGGCTTAAGACTACTGACAAATACGTCTGCTGCTGCTTCACTTGGGTAATTACAGATTGCTTTATTATTCATGACAATGCTTTATCCCACCTTTGCAAATCTTCTGTCCAGATGAGGAAGTGTCACGTTATAAAATGGCAACACTCAGTGACATCCGCAAGAGCATTCAAGAAATACAGAGCAAACTCAAGAGAACAGAGTTGGTACCTGTTGGAAAAGGTTTACTATCTAATTTTTTATTTTAGTAAGTAAGGCTGTTAAACTACAGGGAGACAACAAACTGAGGAACCCCCAACACAAGAATACATGGCATATGAGAAAGCTTTATGGTTCCATTAAGCTTCTTAAAAAATCACTCACTTTTTGTCTGCTCTGGGATGGTGAGAGGAAGGAGTGAATTTCAAGGAGTATGCAGCAGTCTGAGATGGAGGTAGAGAATTTTGTGCCTTATTTCTAAAGCTTGCAACTGCATGTAAGCTGCTAGGAACTAAGTGAAGAGTAAAATAACACATAGATCCCTTTTTGGAAGAGAGACAAAACTACTGTACCTCAGACTGCAGGGTTCAGGTGATCTGCCACTCTAGTACTGATGGAAAGAGAATGTCCTAGTGCTTCTTGGAAGAAAGAAAACCTGAAATACATTCTTTGAAGCAGAAATAAGGAAAGATGAAGCAAAAGTCATCTCTGCACTGAATGCATAAAAAAGCATTTCTGTAATCTGTAAGATACTTGGGCATACACAATCTTAGATGAAAAGTGGGTATACCTTCTGTAAATTTCAGATGGCAAAACAATGATTTTTAGCATGTGCTTGCTTACAGGTTCATACGTCTATGGCATACAAATTACTATGTCCTCACCTGATCCAATTTATCCAACCTGGTCATTTCTGGTGATTTTTTAGAGGTTTTCTGGATTTAGAAATCTAATGTTTTAATAAATTTGTGTTATCAGTTCTCAAAGATATCACTTGCCCAACAGGTGTCAAGTCTGGCAGCAAATGGGGTGGGGAAACTGAGAAAGCTCTGAATTTTTAGCAACTGTAGTACCTCCTGGATTCACTAACTGAACAAATATGGAGCAAGGAGTTAAGCAGCTCATTGGAAAACTGGTGCTGGACTTTTATAAAGCTGACTACATCCATTTTATTAAGTATTTCACATCATTCTAAATGCCAACGATTGATAGAAATGTTTCCTTCAAAGAAACCAAGGTACAATTTTTTAAAGTGCACAGTTAAAAACTTCCAACAGCACTGGGATACCTTGGCTGTGTTGCAGTATCTCATACTCTGTCACCTCTTTTATTAAATGTTAACATAATACTGCTTGTCATAAACACAGTAAGTCAGTACCATAACGTGTCCAGGATGCATAATGTGCTAAAGTCAAATGACTGTCGGAAACCTTTGTATTTCCTGATTTTTAAAGATTCTTATCTCTCTTCTCTTTTGCACTTAGCCTTTGAAGCTTTTGAACTAGCTTTCATGACACCCACAGAGGTGTTGACTAGAGGCAGAAGTCACCTTATCAGTAAGTGATAAAATGCATGGAAACAAATCTTGAACAGCAATATGGGTTTTAATGTTACTCACAGCCTGGTAAGATAAAGCACATTCAACATTGCCAATGGAAGAGGGAGTCAGCAAATATACAACTTTGAGTCTGCTTTTTTAAGAAATAAGCTGATAACAGCTTGCATGCAATCTATTAAAGAGCAAAACCTACATCCTTTTTACTGGGCAGCAGTTGACTTTAGTTCTGTGTTCCCTTCTCCCAGCTTTGCCAGGGAAGAAATAAGCTGGAACACAAATTCATTCTGTAACTAATTAAAGGGACTCTGAGCTGAGTCTCTCACAAACAAAAAGACTTACAGCAGTAGTCCCTGGATCACTTCAATCACCGTAGAAGAGACATTCACATTTCACTGAAGCTAAGAATTGTCTGCTAGGCAGTCAGATGCAGGAGATTACTCATAGAATTACAACAAGGCATTTTACAAATCTACAAAAATTACTTTAATTAGGGAGTGGTCTAACTAAAACGAATTACTGCCTCCTACTTAAGAGGACACAGCAAATTCTACAGTGAATGGTTACACCCCTCTTAAAATGGCAAGAAGATAATTTTTAGCCTGTGCTTCCTTACAGGATCGCACTTATGTCACACTTATGTCAATAGCTAGAGTCCGCTAGTGCCTTACAGGTAGGAAGGCAGTTGTATATAACTAGCTTCTTATTAGACATCAGCCTACCTACACAAGAAAGAGTGCCGACCTAAATACCCCTTGATCCATCAGCTGGTTTTAATAGCAGCTGGCTGCTTTTCCAAGTGCCTGAAACTCTCCCAGGCACCTGCTGCACAGGAGAGCATAACCTGAGCCCTGGCAGTAATTTGAAGAACTCAGCAAGAACTCTGAGTCATCAACAGCCTGGTCATCCTACTACTTACTTCATCAAGCTGTTTTGAAAAAAATGCCACTGCCCTTTTGTAGGGTCCTAATCTCTGAGCCAGGATCCCCAGAGCTACCTGTTGCCTTTCATAGGAGTTGAACGCTTCCTTGGCTTGATCAGTCCAGTTTAAACCAGAAGGATTTCCTTTCAATAGTTTGTATAACTGTCTTATCACTATTCCATAATCATGGATCCAAAGTTGGCACCATCCAGTCATACCCAAGAATGTCTGAAGGCCCCTGATTGTGGATGGTCTTAGCGTTTGGCAAATGGCTTCCTTTTGGGCTGTTTGAAGCTCTCATAGTCCTCTGGTTATTTCATATCCTAAATAAGAGACTCATGTTTGAATTAACTGTGCTTTTTGTTTTGGACACTCAGTCCCAGAAAATTAAACAACTCAACAGTCCATTGAAAATATTCTTCTTTAGTTTCAGTAGCAAGTAGCAAATCATCAATATATTGTAGCAAAGTTCCTGTCTGAGTGGGTGTATTCTAGTTCTAGATTCTAGTTCTCGAGCTAATTGATTTCCAAATATCGTCGGGCTATTTTTGAATCCTTGAGGGAATACTGTCAAAGTTAACTGAGGTTTTTTTCCCATTTTGGGGGTTTCCCCTTCAAAAGCAAACAAATTTTGGCTTTCTTTAGCTAAAGACAGGCAGAAGAATGTGCCCTTTAAGTCCAACATGGTAGACCATTTTTTGTTATTGTTCAATTTGGTTAATAGGGGGTATGGATTAGCTACTACTGGGTGAATATCCTCCACAATTTTGCTGATTGCCCTTAAATCCTGAACTAACCTATAACTCTTTCCATTTGGTTTCTTTACTGGTAAAACAGGGGTGTTATATTCTGATTCACATTCAATTAGCGAACCATATTTTAAAAATTTATCAATTATTTCTCTGATTCCTTTCTGATGCTCTGATTTTAAGGGATATTGTTTTATCTGAACTGGGTGCCCCCCTCATTTTATTTCTACTATAACAGATAAAGCATTTTTAGCCTTACCCGGAACTTCAGATACCCATGCTCCCAGATATACCCGATAAAGACTTCTTCTATTTCAGGGAGGTCCTTCTTTCTGCTTTTCTGTTGAATAAAAGATAAATTCAGGACTTCAATTAATTGTTTGTCTTTAACTTTTAATTCCATTTCTCCTTCCTTAAACGTTATGATTGCTTCCAAATGTTCTAGTAGATCTCACCCTAGTAAAGACTTTGGAGAATTCGGCATTTATTGATGTTTATACATTCCTATTTGTTTTCCCAATTCGTACTCAAATGAGGAAAAGTTGTTTTCCCAACTGTACAGGTCTCAGAAAGAATGCTTTTTCTTGGCAGCCAGTAGCTCCCACAACTGTAACAAATTCTTTTCCAATGGAGTCAAACTCTGATTTAACACCGGATAGGCTGCTCCTGTATCCACTAAAAATTCCACCTCCTTTTCTCTGGTCCCTAGCTATGATTTAATCAGTGGATCTGCTAGGGTAGATTCCCCCAGTCCCTGTTAGCCTAGCTCCAATTCAGTCACCAGAGCTGTCTGGAGATTCTTTAGGATAGGGCAATATTGCTTCCAATGTCCAATTTTCCTTCAATATGCATGATGATCCGGTCCCACAGACAAAGGATTTACTTTATCTTTGTCTGACATTCCTCCTCTGCCTCTGCCTCATCCTCTTATACTACTCCCTTTACTAGTTCCTACTTGTCCCAAACTGCCACCGTAGCTGTGGCTATGGTACGAGTCAGCTTTTTCTTCTCTACCGGTTCTCGATTTCTATACACTCTCCACACTTCCTCTATCAACTTTTCTATATCATGATTACGTGGCTCTTTAAACTTCCGAAGCTTTTTCCTAATATCTTCTGATGATTGTCCTAAAAACAGATTGGCTATCTGCTACTTCCTTTCCTGAGGAGGGATCTAACGTAGTAAACTTTCACAACCACTTCCCTCAACCTATCCAAAAACTCGGTGTTTCGGTTTGCCCTTGTTTTACAACAAACAGGGCTGACCAATTTACTGGTTTTGGAATTGCATTTTCCAGTCCAAATTTCATCCAATTTTGATATCTTTTCAAAGCAGCACAATCCTTGGGCAGATTGCAATCCCAGTCTGGTGTTGCAATGGGGATATGATCTTCCACTTTACCTGCTAATGCTCCTGCAGTAATCTGACCACGTACGTGAGCACGGGTTGTTTTTAATACCCACTGTTTTTCCGTTTCAGTTAATGCATCCAGCATTACATCTATGTCCCATCAGTCAGGATCTTGGCTTTTAACAATCAATGCAAACCTTTTTGCCACTCCTATGGGATCATCCCGATACTCTTCCACAGCTAACTTCCAAGCATCCGAATCTCCCATTGAAAAGTTCACCTTTATTCTTGTCTGACCCTCCGGTCCCATTGCCTGTCTTAAAGGTGCCTGAATTACTGGCCCTGTTTTGCTACAAATGCTTGTGGCAATTGGAGTAACATTTTCAGGTCCTTCTGTTCTATCATCAGCAACTGCAACCCCTTCCTCCTTGTCAATATCAGAGGGATTCAGGCCAGGGCACACTCTTCTTGGAAGTACCAGTAATACATAATACTCCACCATATCTTCCTGTTTACTCCTTTTTCTTAACTTTAAACATCTTTCTCCAGTATCACAGGCTGAACAACTTCTCTCCAATTTAGATCCCTGTTTTTCCCTGTCCTTTTCCAAAACTAAAATTAAGGGATCTGGCAGAGCTACATTAATCCCACATTCCCTCTGCCACTCAGGGTGGTTTCTTAATCTGAAAAACATATCTGCATACACTACTTCATCCCATGTCTCCGGGTTCCAGTTGGGATCAGATACAAGGGCACAAACTCATGGCCCCACTGCCTTTGTGCCTTTTTTATTGCTCCGTTTGTTTTTTTTTCCCTACATCTCTCACCCTGCTCTGCAGTGGCTAAAAATCCCTGCCTTGCAACAGCACTTCTGCTTTAACCGTTTCTAGCTCAGAATGTAAATCCGCTACTTGTTGCTCCAACTCTGTGTTCTTACCTACCATTCCTTTGTAGGCAAATAGCAAACAGCCCCCCCTGCGTCCAGCATGGCTCAGTTGCACCTTCAAGTGGGTATGGGGGTTTGTACAAACTCACCTCAATACTTTAACACTCCCATGGGGTCCTTGGCTCCACACAGTTCAGGTCCCACATTAGTGCAAGTTTCTATTTTATCCCACAATGTGCTTCACAGTTCCTGTGTCCACCCCGGTCGCTCCACAGGAGAAGCCACAGCCCGAGGCACTTTCTTATGAAACATAATGACAGCATATTACACAAAAACTTCAACCCGAGCCTGACAACAAAAATACACAGAACAGTGTCTCCTTGTGCAGCTACATGCCCCACTGACCAAGCCCTGCCCTCAACACACATATAAAAGGGATCTCTCAAGTACACTCCACACAACTACAATACTTAGAACACAAATAAAATCCAATTAGACAAACAGCTATTAATGATGCAATCACAACATACAGTACAGCATTAACCGTATCATGTTGTCAATACCAAAATCAGTACCATGATAATCTGCAAATTAGGTCAAATACCATCACAGAGTTCCAAACAAATTCGAATGTATACCAATTGGGCGCTAGCAGTCGGGTATATGCCTTGCCTATGAGATTTCTATATCTCGATTTACAGAAGGCTCCAAACAAAAGGTTAACCCATCAAAATCCAAACTCCAAACAAACTCCTGTGCAGGACATCTCCTGTGACTTATGGAAAGTTAACCAAAACAAAATCATACTTACAAAAGAATACCTTCTTAAAGATGGTCCTTGTCTGCTCCTGCAGGGATCCAAATGAGTCGAGGGGTCCCTCCGGGAAAAATTCCTGAGGGCCCTAGGGAGCCCTGTCCTCAGCGGGTCCTGCAGCTGAGCAGAGAGGGTCCCATCTGGGGTACCAAACTGATTCAAAGAACTTGTAAAGAACTCACCAACAAAGTTGGCAAACAACTATTCTTTATTGCAGTGCTGGGAGACATGGGGGATAGCTCCTCTTAACACACCTTGTCCCAGCATCAATCAGGCTGTGATTATATTGTTTCTTAATATACGTATTCATTATATTTCTAGTAATTGACATACATATTCATAACATTTCCCAGAACTACTTCACATAGGTTTACACATATTTGCACATGCGCACGATAGTGGTCTTTGGGACCCCTGGTGGTCATCTCTTCATCATCTTCATCACTTTGGCTGAACTTCAGGTTTGGAAAGTCCTGTTTTCAAGCTGCCCAACACTAGTCCAGTTCTAGCTTGTCATTATGAAACATTTATCCAAAATGTTTCCTTTTTCCTATTATTATTTGCCAACAAGGTCAACGTTGCTTAGCTACAAAGCAGAACTAAATTTACTTCTGTACAGAAGAGTATATTTCATTTTGTACTTCCCTGTTTCAGCAGTGAATCTGTGTGCATCCAGAGTAAACTGGAGGGGCTAATTTACTCTCCATGCAATTTGGAGTTGCTGTTTGCCTGTGCAGAGACACATAGGTGTGTTCTACCTGCCCATGGCTCAAGCATGCTGCGTAAGCAATCTGCTCAAAGCTGTGAGAATCCTCAAGATATGCGTGGTCTGTGAACATGCAGGTGGGAGGGGGAGGAAGGAGAAAATTAATTTATCTGCAGAATAGAGGAAGGATGATGAAGACCGGTAGTAGAAGTTTCTTTCACATTGGTATGCATTGACAAAACTAATGAATTCGGTAGTTCAGAAAGTGAGACTTTTCATTTGATTTATGGATCACTGAAAGGGCTGTTTGTAAGGTAAGCCACAGATGGAGAAATATTGATATTGCAAATGAAAGATGAAGGAGATCAGAACTCTTTAAGAGAAGCAAGCATTGTACATAACAACAGCTCAAGAGCCATGTGAGCTGCACAGTCAGAGGACAGAAGGAACAGAAACTGCTCTGGAGACCAGGACTGTGGATGATAAGGAAATGGCAGAGGTGGCAAGTCACGTTTCAAATTGCAGAGTATGTAACACACAGGAAATCTGTCCTCTATGTTTCTAATCCATTCATAAAGCTAGGCATGGGGTACACAGGGCTGGGGGAACTGGAGGAGCTGCAGGGCAGGCAGGGGGTGCTGGCAGAGCAGTGGAGAGCTGTGGACTGATACAGAACAATTCACTACAGGGCAGAATGGGTAGGGTAGTTTTAAATATTTTCCCTGAAATATTTTCATACGAGAGAATTACTCTCAACAGGAAACAACAATCATAAACAGAGAAAGAAATTATAAAACCCTCAAAGCCTCAGAAAAGTTGAATATTTTCCAAAAAGCAATTTACACAAAATGTTTTGAGAAACAATAAAGAATGTGGCACCTGAATTCTCTGTCTTCTTCTGAACTGGTTCAGTCTCAAACCTTTGCAAACTAGCAATATCCTGTCCTAAAAAATCAAAAGTTCAGAATCTTGAAAACTACCTTACCTCCCCCACCATAATAAAAGCAAACCCCAAACCTGGTTTGCTTATACAGGCAAATGCAACATGAAGATATAATCAGTAAAACTAAACCTGATTTTAAAAAAAGAAGCGTTTATTCTGAAGACAGGGTTTTGACTAATCAGAGACTATCATCACTTGTCCGCTGCCTAAGTGATTGCGTAAAAGTATATAAATTACCCCACCACCACCACCACTTTTCTCCTCCCCCCTTTCTGCACTCCTCCCCCCTCACTTGCTATCATGTTTTTAAGGAAGACCTTGAGGGCAAGGGTAGGGGAAGCTCAGAGCCTTCCTCAGAGCGGGGATGGGGACAGCTTGGCCAGAAATGGAACTCACCCAGTTTTCCCCTGTGACTACAGTCACTTTCAACTACAACTACTACTACTACTACTACGATGACAACTGCCCATATCAGAACCTGCAACATATGTCTACTTTTCTCCCTATCCTGTACACTGCTCTGTTCCTGGTGGGCATTGTGGGCAACTCCATCCTGATAGCAGCCTTAGTCTTCAAGCGACGGGTCCAGAGGCTGATTGACATCTTTATCATCAACCTTGCTGCATCTGACTTCATCTTCCTCATTACACTTCCGCTCTGGGTGGACAAGGAGGCATCGGATGGGAGCTGGAGGGTAGGAGCTTTCCTCTGCAAAACTAGTTCCTATGTCATCTCAGTCAACATGTACTGCAGCATCCTCCTCCTCACTTGTATGAGTGCTGACCGGTACCTCGCTATAATGCATCCCTCTATCGCTAGACGGCTCAGAACAAGATCCTACTGCAGTGGACTCTGCATCTGTGTCTGGTTATTATCCTGCTGCTTAGGAATGCCAACCCTTTTGTCCAGAGAACTGAAGAAGCACTATGGAAAGACTTACTGCACAGACAAAGCCGTGACAGAAGCCAAGCAGATTATGTCACTGATGCTTTTAATCCTGGCCTTCTTCTTCCCACTGTTGAGTATCTTAACCTTTTACTGCTCCATCACCAAAAGACTCTGTGTGCATTATCAGAGAACTGGGAAACATGATAAGAAACTGAGAAAATCCATCAAGATTGTCTCCATTGTAGTAGCAGCTTTTGTTATCTCCTGGGTTCCCTTCAATCTTTTCAAGCTTATGGCCATCCTTTTGGGACTCATGAAGCAGCCTGACTGTTTTCCTGATATGGTTGCCCAGCTGGGTATGAAGGTGAGCAGCCCTTTTGCTTTTGCCAATAGCTGTGCCAACCCTTTCATTTACTATTGCTTTGACAACTACATCCGCAGAGCCATGCTTCGGTGCCTGTGCCCATGGGTGAAAAGCAGTGGCAGCGGCAGCAACCTGGATACTCTGGACACTCGCCTAAGCCACTCCTTATCCAATTTTATTGCCGGGGAGAATGCTGCTAGGAAGAGGAAGCGCTCTGTGTCCCTCTGACAGGGAGCTGGGACTGCACAGGAAGGAACTTCTCTCTCCAAAGACAGCAGGCAAAGAATAAAGTGAGAGAAGCTGAAAACAAAAGGAGAGATTAACGACAAAGGTGCAAATGTAATGCAGCTGGCACTTCAGGTGGGAGGAACTGCTTCCCTTTAAATGCAGATCGATGGAATAGGAAACGTTAACCACAGATTACGGTTCACAGAGATCACTGTGTCACTGAATGGTGTAAAGCAGAAACCATCGTGCCAAGAAATATCCACAAATGCTTATACCAGAACCCCAGCACAAGTGCTACAAACTAAGACGAATCATGTGACTCAGATAAAGCTGTTGTGAGGCAAGCTTTGAACTTTTACATGTATATATCTATATATATATGTTTTTATTCTGTGCGGAGCAAGAAAAACAACACAAGTGTTTCTTCTCTCTGGTTCCTAGCTCACCAACAAACATGTCACAGTGGCCTCAAACCAGCCTGATACATTCTGGGGGTTTGGAGGTTTTCTGAATTTAGAAATCTAATGTTTTGATGGATTTGTGTGTTACTAGGTCTTGCAGCTTGAGTCCTGTGCATTTTTCTTTAAGTCTCAGCTTCTTACTATGGCATTAAATCTTCAGCCCAATTTCTGATTTCAGAAAAAAAGCTAACTTGAAGGCAGAGAAACGAGAAAAGCAAAAGCAATACTTCATTTAACCTTTCTCTTAAAGGCAAAAAACCCAACAACAACAAAAACACTTGTGGGTTTTGAGACTTCTTTGAGGTTCTGACACAATTTCTGACTGCTTAGGTTGTTCGTACAGTGGTGTAACAGACCTGCAGACCTGCTAAAAGGTTTTAAATGGAAGACAGCTACACCAGCCAACATAACTCATAAGAAAGAGAGAGCAATGTGCAAAGCCTGAAGACCTGGCTACTGTCTGGACAGCAGGGAAAAGAAAAGGTGAACTGAACAATGGAAGAGGTATCTCTCTCATGTACCTGCAGCACGAGTGCATTCAGTATAGCTTTTCTTTTCACACCTCTGTATGTTCTAAACATCTGTAAATAGGGATGACTATTTTGGGTGTTACAAATAAATCCTGGTATTTGCATTTTTTCTTGAGCTTTGCAGTCGTGTTAATGTAGGCAGAGAAATGAAAACAGAGCTCACCCAGCAGCAGCGCAAACCTGGAAACCAAGGCATGGACATCCTGCCCAGCTCCCCAGCCAGTTCCCTGCTGTGCCCACAGGCTCACACAGCAAACCCTCATTGGAGCTGTAAAGAGCTGGCACTGCAGGGTCAGCCGAGGCATTGTCTTTCAGCAATTCCTGGTGCTGCTGTATGCTCTCTGGCACACAGTAAGATACTTGAATATGTGCCTGCGCTATAAGGGGGGCATCACAGAGACACAGGAACTTTTTTGCTCTCCCCTCCCTTCACCACATGCATATTTTTCTCTCCCCTCTTCTAAAAGATTTTGGTTGCCTTCCTCCACGTGACAGACTTTTTCCCCCATACCTAAAGACCAAACTGCTTCAGGCTTACAAATGCATGAAGAGCATCAACTGTGTTTTCAGACCTTCCAGTGTCTGAAAATAAGAACAGTGTCAGTTCAAGTTTTAACCCTGTTTGCAGTGTCCCTCAAAAACTACTGTCTCAATAGCCTCTTCTCAATCTCTCAGCCTCCCTTCACCTTTACTAGTACATGAAACTTATTTTAATTACAAAAAGAAGCTTAAGACTTGCATTTCAACTAACTTACAATTTTTATTACAGAAAAAAAAATCACATCTTAGTAAGTCAGATCTCACTCATTATTTCCTTAATCCCCACCCAAAGCAGAACTGTGTCTTTGGAATATAATCAGTCTACAAGGCTTAAAATAAATTTAAGTTAGGGCTGTCACTTTCTTTTTTTTTTTTTTTTTGGCTTTTTGTTGTTGTTTTTTTTTGTTTTTGTTTTGTTTTTTTTTTTACTTCATTAATTAATACTTCAGTAATTTAATACCTCAAAATGCCAGATCAAATTGGAACAATGACTAAGGAACATCTACCAAGGTCTCCTTCCATTGCCTAAAGCTGTAATACAGGCGTTTTGGGGAAAAAAAACCCCAAACTGATCAAATATTGCCAGGTTTGACGAGAATTATATATAAATTCCACAGCAAATGCTCCCCATGAGCAAGAAAAAATACAGAAAAGGCAACTAATTCAACAAAGCAAACCTCTCTGGATGCTTTTAGGCACTCATCCAAAAGACCGCACCCTACGAAGGCGCTTATTTCGCTCTTGTAAACCGCAAGACATCTATTGGACATTCTCACAACAGTGTAAATGTTATTTTACATTATTTTTTCCAAAGAAAAGGTAGCCTATGCTTGAACAAACGTACTACTGGAATTTTCACTATTCCATGTTACTATTCATTATTTGTTTGTTAGCACTCACACAGCTTAGAATGACACCAAACTTATGGTGACTGTAAGTATTTAATGTGGTGGACTTGTGTAATGTAACAGGATGCCTATTTTATCTGTTAAAAGAACTTAATGGCTGTAAAGTGGCTTGCTATATGAAATGGAAATGCTGCAATTCTGGTACGACACCTGCAAAAGATCTTGTATAGTAATTTGGACTGTTTATTTTTTCCTCCACTTTTATTATTTTAAAATAAGTCCAATATGGTTGCAGTTAAGGAATATGGTTTGGATTTTTGTAATCTGTCAAATCCTTTCATTGTCATGAAAAGGTAGCAAAGCAATTACTAGGAAATCTGTCAGCAGATCTGGATGGAGAACATTCATCTACCCATCCCACAAACCTTTTCATGATTTTGGAGATGCTTTTGTATGCCTTGAAAGAAATCAAGACTTTTTGAGGTTTTACATGAAAACAACTACACCACCAGCAACACTCCCAACAATCTAGAGATTGGTGCATCTTCCTGAGATGTGCATAATGAAAATTGGAGTGCCTCTGCTTCCTGCTGTAAATCAGGACCTGCTTATATGCATCTCTTGGGTCTCCATTTTGGCTTCGATGAATCAAACATTTTTCAGAAAGAAAGTATTTCATCTCAATACAGAGAAAAATTATACCCAGATCTAAAGCTTACTTAAATGGACAAAGAATGTTTGTAACCTTCATTTCAGCACCAGATGTGTTAACACTAACAACTGTACCACCTCTAATTTTGGTACTTCGAGTTGCAGATGACCGAGTAAAATGTCTCACAGGGGATAGTTTCAGATCCAAAATTATTAGGGCTACCTTACTGCCCTCCAACAAGTAAGACAAGTGTTGTAGTCACTGCACTGAACTGACACTTAACAAGAACTGCAGTAAAGGCTGGCTCTTGGAAGCTAAGAGGAGAGCTTGCACTGACTAAGGTCCACCAAGATGTCACCTGCAACTTCTTGTTCTGGCTCTGTTAGACTGGTGGGATGTAAAGCCCCTCACAGGGCGTCTGTGCCTCAGCTTTGGAATAGGCTGAATTGCAGTAAGAACACTTCCTGACTTTGCAAAGATGCTGCAATGATACATATGTTGACTCCTGCACAGGCACAGTAAGGTCCTTTACAAAAGAAGAGGTTTTTTCAGGTGCTTGTAAGGTACTGCTGAACAGTACAAAGAGATGTCAGCTGAGGGGTGGGAATACTTCTAGCAGTTACACACCTCTAGAATACTAAATTGTTGTCTATCCCTGTATGATCACTTGTATTCATAAGGTTAAGAGGGACTTGTGAGTAGATTTGCAAGCTGCGAGCACAAATCATTATGTATTCAAAAATTTCTAACTGAAACAGTTGGACTCGATGATCTTAAAGGCCTTTTCCAACCTAAACAATTGTATGATTCTTCTCTTGTTTAGAAGCCTTCACACAGTTAAGGAGCACGTTTCATGGTAAGCTAAGAACAGAAAGCAGTGACCACAAATGGCCTAAAGACCATCCTCAATGGGAAATCCATCCACTCAGGCTATTTCCCAAATATGCTAGTGTTCTGCATGTCACCAGATAAAGAGATATCAGTCCATTAGAGAACAATTAGTGCACTCTAGGTTTCAATAACAACCCAAGCACCTGCTCAGTTTGCAGATGCAGGTGCTCACACTTGCTGCAAGTAACAGGGAGTTTTGGACTATCTCACTCTCAGTAAAAGCCAGAGGGAGTCTGGTTCCAAAGATTTAGGCAGCTAAGACTGGAGTGTATAATAAAATAAAAGAATGGAAAATATGGGAGATGAGAAAGCAAGTGGATTGGAAACCAACCGCCTTCAAGAATAAAGGCAGCCTTCTACATGTGACTCAGTAAAAAAGCCTTGCCAAAGGGTAGGCTGCTTGGGTTGACACTTATTTTTAGATATAAATTAAAATATAGGTATTATTTTCCCAGCTCACCTCTGCTACCTTTTGTAACAGATTGCAGCAGCTTTGGAAATAGAAGCCACACGTTATGGTTTGACAGCATACAACACTATCAGGATCGATCATCTAAACAATGCATTGTGACCAAAACATGTATTTTCAAACTTCAAAACAGTTTCCTTATTAGTAAGAGAGCAGATTCTTAGTCAGAAGTTCCCACTAAGTCTAGTTAGTGAATATTCTTCCTCTACTGTTTAATTTTCACATTTTCTAGAGCACATGGGATTTTACCAGAAGGATTGCAACAACAGATCTCAGAAAAGAAGAGACCCATGTTTCTCTTTAAATTTGGACTGCATTTAGCTGCTAGGGAAGGCGATAGGGGAAGTAAGGTACGAATCTGTGATCAAAGAAAATGCTTCCCACAAAATGATTACTAAATTCAGAGACTTTCATTTGTAAATGCCTAGTTTCAGATCTTTTGCAAAGAAAAGATTCCCAAAAAGGACTATGCAGTCGCTTTCTGAGCAGCAGGTTCTTAAAAAATAAATGATGCATCCAAAAGTCCCTAGTCTATTCTGGAAAAAAAACATCATCTCTGTCTTTTACTGTGAAAGGGAGACCCAGAACCTGAGGACCCTCTCTCTTTCTAAACTGATAAAACTAGTTATATGAATATAAAAGAACAGCAGTTCCTCAAAGGATGCCCTTTGTTTTACCCTCAATTTGAGGCAAAGAAAACCAGATTGTGAAACTGTGTGGCTCTCTGCTCAGAGAATGAAACTTGGTCAGTGTTTTTTTAATCAATCCAGCTTTTCAGTCTTGCTTTAAAACTGGCATGCAAAATGACGAGAAAGTCAGACTTAAAATGCAAAGAGCATTTTTTCCACTGAGGGACACAGTGTATAAATAAATACCCAGCACATATCTGCCCTATATAGTACCATGCACCTGACTTGGCCACTCACATAACTTCCCTCTATGCACTGCCTAAGCACCTGCATGACCACAACACCCATTTCCCCTGTTACCTACTCCTCACCCTCCCTCCTCTGGGAACCACAGAAACATTTACCCACACCTCAAACAGAGCAAAACATTCAAACCATTATGAAAAGACTTAAAAAAATAAAAGAGAGCAAGAGAGAGAGGTGCATATTTGGTTTTGCATAGCTTTGAACCTGTGGGTACAATCACGCCACTTAAGGAAATGTAGCAGCTAAGAGTAGAAGCTTGATAGCTTTCAAGAAAGACGTATAGGTATATAAATATCCACTCTCCTCATAACTAACCATTATGGATGGAAGGATCTTAAGAAGCAAAGATACAAATGCCCTGAAAAGTGCAATGGCAAGTCCATGATCCCCCAGTAGCTCAGCTGTAGATAAGGTGCCAGATATTCTGACTTCTAGTCAAAGATTATGGTACTTCAGACCATTCAGGAACACTCAAGTAATTGCAAAACCCTTGTGGGTATCTCACCGAGAGAGAGAAAAAGGCTCAGGCAACAGCAGAACAAAGAGCATATGGCAGATATGAAACGTGCTAAGACAAAGTACCAATGAGAAACTAAGCTGTTTCTTCACAGCAGAGCTACCACACAGGAAAAATAAAAAGACAAGACTAGATCTAGCTAGAGAAAGGGAGAGAATAAACAAGCCTTATAATCCAATAGCTTCTAGGGCTAATGTTTTGGCAGCATGAATCAATGGTGGTGTGGCATGCTCACATTTACATAGCCACTTTAGAGGTTGCAGTTATCCTGAGGCTATTAAAATGTCTGATTCATGAAATGAGATGTAACCCTCCTACTATTCTAATTTTTAAGAACTTGTGCAACTAGAATAGGTCCTTACCTCCGCTGTCACCCAAATAAATACCAAATGAAGTCAGTGGGGAAATTGCTGGTATTGTTGAAATCAGCTGGTGTTTTTTACAACTAACTCCACGAGAGTTGGGTCTGGATGAATCACAGAATGGTTTGGGTTGGAAGGGACCTTAAAGATCATCCAGTTCCAAACCCCCCTGCAATGGGTAGGGACACCTTCCACTAGACCAGGTTGTTTAATGCCCCAGAAGACAGAAAGCCTAACTAACCCAAAGTCTACCTAACCAGTAGTGAATCCAACTGGATTAGGGTGCTCTCTATCAGAGTTCATGATGATAATGATTCACCTCCAAAAGGTCTGAAGACTCACAAAACTCCTATGATTATATGGCCTCACTCATCCATATTTAGAGGAGCCACCTGAATAGATGCTTCCAGCTGTGCTGCTGGACTAGGTTTTCTGGTAGTACTAGCTGCACCTTCCTTAAATTGCCTTTAAGCAACTTGGACAAAGTAGGGCAAGATCATGCCAATCTAGGCACCTGTGTTTTCTCCTAAGGCATGCATACTCTTCTCAATGTAATTGTAAGAAGGTGAGCCAGTGTTGCCAGTAGACACAGGGACCTCCCCTAGGCAAGCAGTGTAGATCCTTCTGTAGTTTGTGCGTGGTTTAGACTTCCTTTATACCAGAGTGTGAACTGGTAACTGCAACACTGGGAGCTCTGAACCTCCTCATCCAAATGCATCAACCCCAGGAAGGGGCAGCAAAGATACAGTGATGGGAATATCAACAAGCCTCAGGGAATGGGGACTGTCTGCTTGGCTTGCAAGCTGACAATGAAATGCATGCTGCCATTTCTTCATCTATACAAACCTGTGAACTAGTCAAATACAAGTAGCTCAGGTATCCTAACCCATGCAGCTAACACAGCTTTGGCTGCACTGTAGACCAGTGCATCACACAGTGAAAAAACAGTGGTTTGAGGGTTTGAAGGCTGAGTCCCCTCTCCATTCTATGCAGCAAAGCTAGTGCCTTCCTCCAGCACCCAGCAGCTGGACACAAAGCATCTCTGGGGAACATCCCCTAAAGATCAGGCGAAACCAAGCCTGCCACCCTCAAGCGTGGGGTTCAGGATGAAACAAGATTTCTGCCATGGAAAGGGACCCAGCTAGGAGAGTGCTGGAGGGAGCACTCCCTCCAGGAAAGTGAGCTTTCCACTCTGCCTGCCGGAAGGCTGTCCTTCCACAGTAGTGTTTCCATCCCTGTACACCCAGCCTTCCCACAGCCACCAGTCTGGCTCTCACCAGACCTCTGGCACAGCCAAACAGGCACCAGGGCTACAATTAGTGTGCTGCTCTACCTCTGGATGCCTCCCAGGCAATGCCCATTTCTGCCACACCTAAGAGTCAGAGGTGGACAGTGAGGTTAAGTGGCTCAAAAAAGATCCGTATTTGCCTCAAGACCAGATAGGAGAGCATGCGCCCTAAATCAAGTCCTGTGAAAAGGTCCACAGGAAGTGAAAAAGGAAGATTACAATAAAAACAGGATTTCCAAAACGTTGCACATAATGAACAAGATATACATTATAGTTAGTCTTATAAACTAAAACAACAGCAAAAAACAGTTGTCAGTTGATCTTATGCTGAATTCAGGCTTTGCATGGAAGTGTCCACCATTTTGCAGGCAGAAAAACAAACCAAGGGCTCCTGCCACAACAGTGAGCATGAACTGATGAGTCTGCCAAACACACGTAGAGTGAAGGTGATAAACTGTGGTGTAAAAACACAAAGGCTGAGATGTCTGCTAACAGCAGTAGAATGCTACTGGGTTTTAACATAGTGTCTCATGTTCACAGAAAGGACAAACAGTGACATGTAACCTTCTTCCTTTTTACTTTAAGAAAGCAAACTTGTATTCTGACTCATGCTTTAACATGAGTGGCATTACCAGTGCAGCACAGCTGTAAAAGACTTCAGGCAATCATCTTGTTCACTAACTAAAATCACATACATATAGATTATCCTTGACATGTATCTGTCAAAAACCAAAAGGGTAGGTCATCGTTTATCCTCAGAATTCACAAAATCCACTGAAAATTATAAGACGCTATGCAAATATATTCAGAGGATCCTTTTAATTGTTTTTGAACTCTTAAGTTTAACCACATGCTTTCTTTGCAAACATGAGGGGAAACAAACCTTCATTTTCAAAGAAATTTGATGGGCTTTCAGAATATAACCACTTATGAGCATCACCAGACTGTTGGCTCAGTCATGGAACAGACACACTCCAACAGCTTAGATGCTTCAAAAACTGTTTTTTTATTTACCCAGTTATTGAAGTCAGGTCTGTGATTTACTCCAGCAAGGGAGTCAACCATAAGCCCTGGTACCCTGTGGGAGCAAGTGCTTGTGGAGTACTGAAGAACTTTCTGCATTCATGCTCCATATTCTATGTGTTATGACATGAGTTAGTAATGTCTGCATTATCTTCTAGCCCTCTATGGTGGCTAGCTGCCAATGAGTTGCCCAAAAGACTTCTGACAGTGCCAGGTATTTCTGTCTTCTCTCTTGTCTTTTGCCACAAGCAATTTTCTCCAGGTTGGCAGATGACAACTGCCTGCAGCATATTTCTAACACAGCACATGAACTGGCAAAAATCACTGACCTACATTGAGTCAACTCGATATAGAAGTATTTCTTTTCCTTCCTCATTAAGCCACCCAGTGCACCCTCCATAATACTATCTGACAGAGCAAAAGGTGCTTACATCTGAAGTGGAAAAATTTTAAACATGACCGCTAATAACGAGTCCTCGAAAGAAGGACAGAGTTTGTATGTACAAAGGGCATTTTTACAAATACAGAAGTTAATCAGATTAATTACTGTTTTGGATGAAGCATAGCTTCTCAATACTAAAGTATTAGATGTCATGTATATGTGTACTGATTTCATACAGTAGATCTTTATTTTTCTGAGGTACTAAAGTACTATTTGGGAAAATGGACAAGTCCAAATAAAACCAACATTCTCTCCCTCCAGCAATATCTACCAGAGTTATTTTTACAAAATATGACTTCTATCGAGTCAAGCTTATTATTATAATACTAAAAGCACCTTTCAAATCTACAACTACTGCAAACTTTTACCTGCCAAAAAAGACTTGATGAGCTACTTAAGTTGCTAAAATAACTGTGTAACTATGTAGCGCCAACAATTTTTGACACCCAAAAACCAGAAATATGAGACTTCCCGCTTTCATGCCAAGCAAACCAGCTCAGAAGCATGAGAAACCTAAAATGCTCAAATTAGCTAACAGCTACAGGGGCAGTTTAACTGACCAAAGAGAGCGTTAAACTATGGTTTAATGTTACAGCAGCCTGTAACTATAACAAGGTTTGGTTTGTGAGGGGTTTTTTCTTAAAAAGCCCAAACTTTGTGCTTTATGGACACAACTGAAGACAGGTTAGTCCTGCAGATCATGCAGCCACACCAGCTGTTTTACAGTTCCGCGCTCCCCAAGCAGCAAAGCTGACCTGAGCACACCATTTTGAAGACCTCTCTGTGGGTAAAGTTACCTGGGAGGTTCCATACTCCACTCCAAAGGGAGCAGTCCTCTATTGGAAGGACTTTCATCATTATACCCCAGAGAAAGGCAAGATACAAAGGAGCCTTTGAAGAGAAGAGAAAATGTTACAATTAGGGAAAAAATCATCTTTAAGTGGTTGTTCTAAGCAGTAACCTTAATCCACTTGTTTTCTAACACTGAGTTACACATTTTCTCTTGCACCTGCAGCTTTCACCTCTTAAGCGGACTCTCTGAATAAAGCATCCTCTAACCTAACATCTGAACCTGTTTGACAAGGGTGCTACTGTAAACCTAGAGATGGGAAGCTGTTTTGTACAGAAAATAAAAGATCTGTGCTCTTCACTGCCATATATCACAGCTGTACTTGTAAGTATTTATTCTACTGTTAAGATCTTCAGTAATCAGTGCAACTTGGGGTCCATAGCAATTTCTCTTATAAACTGTTTCCAGATACAGCAGTGAGCAACTTAGACAACTCCCACGGAATATGGATGGTCCCAGTGCTGTGGCGCACATTCAAACACCACATTTACGCTGCTGGAAAACTTTAATGAAGCAGTTTTATCACAGCTCCTGTCAAGGCAGGAGCTTGCATTTGTACTGCAATTTTCTCTGTTTTTGAATAGGAAACCCAGAATGCTTCTTAAAGCTTTTTTTCTTTTTTTTTTGAGAAGTGGCCTAGTTCCATATCTTCCCCAAGTCTAAGTGTAAAGAGGAATTCTGTAATATGGCATCAGTTGGTTTGGCACAATATTACTCCCCCCCAAAACCAAGGGTCTGAAGCACAGTATAGTCATTATACACCCAAGCTACAAGAACTCCTCCCTCACTGGTAGGCACACAGGTAAGCAGCAAACATAAGCGAAAAACGTCTTTCTACCCGTTACCGAAACAACATTCAAACCGTCCCCACCCAACACCACCCAGCTGCAGCCCCTCAACCCCAACTCAACACATGCCAAAACACCCTTCCCCTTCCACAAGCTCTATGCTAAGCCTTCCCTCATTGGGAGAGTGATTTGCCTGTCTCAGCCGCACCAAAAGGTGGGTTTATTGCTGTAAAACTGCTCCTCCGTTCCCCCTAAGCATCCTTGCCCGCCTCCCCGAGTCTCCCCAAGTAGGGCTGTGGATCCCCTTGGCCTTCCCAGGCGAGCCCTGTGGTGCCCGGCCGAGGGGAGGCTCCCGGCCCGCTGCCAGAGCCTACCTGCGCTCCAGGGCTGCTCCCGCCCGTGCCGCTGCCCCGGCCCTGAGAAGGGCGGGAGTGCTGCTGGCGCGGCGGCGGCGCGGCTGGGAGCGGGGCCGGAGCGAGGCGGGGGATAGCGATGGTGGTGGGCAGGGGGGATGCCGACGGCATCGCGTGCGAAGCGGGCCGCGGCGGCGGTGTCGCTCTGAGTCAGTGCTCGCCGCGACGGAGGAGGCCGCGGGCTGTGAGCGAAAGGGAGGCAGAAGCTGACTGATCTCTGCCGCCCGCCGGCGGGCTGCCTGGCACGCAAGGCTTGCTGCACCCACCCGCTCCTCGCCGGCACTGCGCTGCCCCACCGCTGGCCGCCCTCCTTCCCCTCGCCCCGGCCACTCTCAGCGGCCCCTCCTCAGACGCTTCTCCTGGCCCCGTCGGCTAACCCCGTCCCTCCTGGAGGGCTGATGGCTGCTTTCCTCCTTCGGCCACCGCCCGGCCTCCCCGGGAGCCACCTGCTTTTTGTGGGTGACAGTCGTCGTTGTTGGCACCGCGTACACACAGATATCCCCTCTCACACAGTCCCTTTTGTGATTTTGGTGTTTACTTTTAAAATCCGAAGAAGCTTCTCGGCTAAAAGTATGTGGGAAGCTCAGGACCATCGGCAAGAAGGTAGTGTCAGCTCTGCACCTCGCTGGGCATTCACCATCTTTGGTCCGCTCCCTCACGGCGACGGCACCTCTCGGTCCCTGCTTGCACAGCACAGCCGTGGCTGCCATCGCCAGAGGACAGCAAAATACAGTACCTGTAGATAGAAATGTGTGTGTGGAGGTGAAATTACTGCATAGCTCTTCAAATGTGACTACCAGCCATAAATTTCAGACACTACGCAGGAATAATAACCCCCCATGTCAGGGGGTTGGAACTGGATGATCTTAAGGTCCTTTCCAACCCAAACCATTCTATGGTTCTGTTTCTATGACTATTCCCAATCACACAGAATCACAGAATGGTTTCGGTTGGAAGGGACCTTAAAGATCATCCAGTACCAAGCCCCTGCCACAGGCAGGGATACCTTCCACTAGAGCAGGTTGCTCAAAGCCCTGTCTAACCTGGCCTTGAGCACTGCCAGGGATGGGGCAGCCACAGCGTCTCTGGGCACCCTGTGCCAGTGCCTCATCAACCTCACAGTCATTGTCATCTCTCCTTGGAAGGAGAAAACACCTTGCATTGGGGTTTCTGCTATTGAAGGACTTGGGCTGCTTGTTGACAAGGACAGGCATCACTGCTCAGAGCAGCAGAGAGCCTGAGGCCCCTGTTCTTCAGTATTAATTGATGATTTTTCTAGAGTGTTAAAGTAAGAAGTGAGGGGAGCTAGAAGTGTACAAGCCAAACAGTTTTTGCCATCAGCACTCTGAGCCACTGAAAATGGTGCAAAGTATTCACCACAATAAATACTTTTTTTTTTTTTTTGAGAAAGGGTGTTATTGCAGAAGTCAGGAACACAAAAAGGTGTTATTCCTCCATCTCAGAAACAAAAACCTGCCATTTCTTAAGACTTCATTTCAATGAACCTGGTTGAACTGGTTATACCACAAGCTTTCCCAAAGCTGCTGAGTAAATGGCGATTACTCACAATGAAAGCTTCTGTGACATGAACCTCACTGAAGTGAATGCTTCACTTACAAAGACTCTCCAAGAATCGAGAAGCACTGAGGCACAGACATCACTTGAGAAGTGATTTCCATCCCTATTTTACAAAGAAATTACAGTTTAAGATGAGTATTCCTACTGAAATGTAGGAATAGATGTGAAATATTTTAACTTTGTGAGTAAAATGTATGCACTCCTCATTACCTGTCCTATGAGTTTGCCCCAGGATCCATTTTGGGATAAAACGCTTTTTTGCCCCCCTAGCTGATCCCAGCCTGAATGCTGTCTCAGCTGCTAGTATCTGCCTTTAAGGAACTCAACAAAGGGTGGTGCCAGTATCATCAGGGTCAGAAGTTGCAGTGGGAGGTTGTCTCCTTTGCTCTAAGTAGGTTGCCATACATTGTAGATTGTACAACAGATGAGCCATCTCAAAGGTTTTCTGCTTCCTTCTTTAGAAGCATAAAAATACATAGATAACTACATGATCAGGAGATTCCATACAAATACAGAGATCTATGGGCTGATTCAGTTTTGTCTGTATGCTAAAATCAGTCAGATATCTAGCACCTCATCAGCATGTGCCTAGCTTGGATTTTTCTGGCGGTTACATAGTAGAAGAACAGAGGTTTATATTTAAGTGCATTTAGCAAAATACCAAACCTGTATTAAGTTTTAGCATGGAATTCATAGCAGGTACAGCTCTGTTCCAGCTGTGTAGTGATGCAGTACAGAAATGCTGCAGGGTTTCATTGATGAATTCACACATGGTGAAATACAACATGAGCCCCTTATACTTTCCAGGGTTTTTTTCCTACCCTTTTTGGCAGTGCATGCAAATAGATTGAAAATATTGAAGAAACAATTACCAGGACAAACTCTTAAGGGTACATTCAGGCTCTTTCATATAACTCATGACCTTCAGAAAGCTTTCAGAAAGAAATACTTTTGAAATGCCAAAACCCCAAGCTGTAGCCTGAGCAAACTTGGAATGTTGAATTCTTGCCTGGGTCAAGAGGCGATTTAAGCTGCTGATCTTCTCCAACAAGGGCTGTATTTTGGAAAAGAGAAGGACTGAGCAGATGGATGCAAAATAAGCAGGTAAGAAATCATCTCTGTAGCAGAAAGAGCTAAAGATCCTGGCTTTTCATGTGGTAAATGCTTTTATCAGCTCAAACTGTGCTTTTCTAAGCCTTCTAAATACCTGTGCATTTGCTTAATACGTATGCATGTACGCATTCATGTGTGACCGAGGAAGTGTAGGCAGTCTGAAAAAACCAGGCAGCAATAACGAAATGTGCAAAAGAGCTCTGCAGAAGTGAAGTGATCAGAGATGGAAGAGCTTGATGCTGTGCTCTGTGTGGCAGCACTGATTTTATTGATTGCCTACGTAGAGAGACCTGGTCCTGTTCAGACTGGAGAAAAGATGACTGAGAGGGGATCTTATCAATGCCTACAAGTATCTTAATGGTGGGTGTGAAGGGTACCACTTCCTCAGCTTACCTGTGAGTATGTTATGCAAGACAGTGTCGAAAGCCTTGTTGATGTCAAGGTAGAGAGCATCCACTGCTCTCCCCTGGTTTACCCAGCCAGTCGTTCCATCATAGAAGGCATTAGGTTGGCATAGATTGGTCAAGCATGATTTCCCCATGGTAAATCCTTGTTGACTACTCCTGATAACCTTCTTTTCCTCTACATGCTTAGAGATGATATCCAGGATGAGCTGTTCTATCACCTTCCCAGGGATGGAGGTGAGGCTGACGGGCTTGTAGTTTCCTAAGTACTCCTTTCCCTTTTTGAAGACTGAAGTGACACTGGCTTTCCTCCAGTCCTCAAGTACCTCTCCTGTTCTCCATGACCTTTCAAAGGTAATGGAGAGTGGCTTAGCAATAACATCTACCAGCTCCATCAGCAATCATGGGTGCGTCCCATTAGGGCGCATGGATTTGTGGGTATCAGGTTTGCCTAAATGATCTCTAATTCAAACTTTGACCAAGGGAAAGTTTTCCTTTCTCCAGACTTTCTTGTCTTCAGGGTCTGGAATTCCTGAGGGCTGGCCTTGGCAGTAAAGACTGAAGCAAAGAAGGTGTTCACTAACTCTGCTTTCTCTGTATCCTTTGTCAGCAGGGCACCAATCTCATGCAGCAGCACTCCCACATTCTCCCTAGTTTTCCTTTTGCTACCATTGTACTTGAAGATTCCCTTGTGACGTTTAATTCCAAATGGACCTTAGCCTGTGTAGTTACATTCCTGCATTGTCTCACAACATTCTTGTATTCCTCCCAAGACTGATGGACAGTTCAGTCAGTAGGCACTTGTTTTCCCAAATGATCTGAAATCTACTTAATTCTTACCTAATTAAGGAGCACAATCAGTAGGACTTAAATTTCATGGTCTTTCCGATATGAGGTTAAAAATGCCTGAACAGTCAGGGTCTGCTAGCTTTGTCTGCAACAACTTACTAATTACAGCTACATTCTCAGCAGAATGGGATGACAAGATGAATGTGGTTTTATAACAGTCAGTACAAACAGGAAACTTAAGGAAGTGTAACAACCAACATTTTTTTTTATTAGAGGGACAATGGCCAAGCCATTCAGGAGGAATTAATTCTCAGGATTTGGCTACAGAAGAGCAGTACAATCTCGTTGCCATCCCTATGCCCAGCTGTGGGGTTGTTTTCAGAAGAGCTTTCAGCAGATGCCTTCTATCCTTTAGTCTTTGAAGCTGTGTTTCCTCTAGTGGCATTAAGAGG